AAGCCAGCTGTCAGCTCACAAAGTCTATGGTGAAAGCTTTCAAAAATTAACCAGAAAAGGAAAGCATTGTTTTTCCAGGAGTGACTTTGTCTGCCATCAGACATATTCCAGAGCAGAAAGGTGGTTTTTCATGGATCCGTAACCATTCATATTTTGATAATGAAAACTGGAATCGCATCCATTGCTACTGAGTCATTTGTATGCCTTGTTTGTGTTATTAACATTGTCACAGTGCTATTAGTGGCAATTCTCTGGAACCTTTTGTGGGTTTGGAGCAGATTCTAATGCGGTGACATCAGACACCAACATATAGTACCATCATTTGAAACCTTAAAAGAGTGTTACTAACCCGATAATTTAGTAGCATCCACAGCTCCATTTCCCACTGTCATTTGCAAAAATGTGATGATATTATAACTTGCCTGAAGACAGTTTATTACAAAGACCTGTACGTACTGGTTAGGACACATTTTGCAAGGCAAATGTAGTTACCACAGTGCTGTAGGAAACGGACTTTATGACATAATAACCCACACAGGCATGGTCCATCACTGTAGAGTAAGCCTCTGGATGAAAACTAGTTCTCCAGTATAAAGCATCTACTAATCCAAAAAAATTTATTAAATTCCAAACCTTTAGATTGCAACAGACCAAATATTCCATATATCCTTGCCCTTCTCACCGATTTCTCACAACAGTTGTTTTGTGTGAGGACCTAGCTAGGCTCATCCATCTGACAGTTATTGGAACTACAGTGCCACAGTTTTGTTTTGCCTTGCAGACTTTAAATCGGGACATACTACAGCACTGTTAAAGGAAGCTAGAACAGTACAACTTAACCCAAAGCATTAGCACCAGAATGGCTGAGGTATCACACATCTCCAATGGGACTGTAAGTGCCCTTGTAAGGAAAAAAAAGAATCCAGGAATGAACAATGTTAGCTCCAGCACAATTGTTCAAATGAGCTCGTTCAGACAGCAGTGAGTAGGGAAAACTATGATTTTACCTGCAGGGGGCCACGTTGGGTATTTGCAGAAGTTACTTGTAAGAAGTTCTGGTTTTCAACAGATCAGAGAGCAAAGTATGCCTTGGTGCTGATGAGATGAGCCAGGACCTTGGCAGATATCAATAAAGTTCACTCAGACGTAAAGGTGCTAGAAAAACAAGATTTGACAATAACGGACATTTTCTGTTTCAATTTCAACCAGAAAGTGACAGCTGTTCTGCTAGTGCGACAGTAAGTCAGTCCAACGTGTTCTATAAGGCCAGCATTTAACAAGCTAATCTGAAGTCCCTTATCAACTCAGTTTAGCCATGAGCTCAGCCCTGAACTTCATTTCAGTGTCACAACTACTGGAAACTAATTGTGGCTTTCCACCTGGAAGCATTTATTTTTGCAGCAATCTCCCTGTAGCTGGACCTGTCTCTTTAAAGAGGCCAGCTGCACTCCAAGTTGCTTCCACTTTGAAAGCTCCAACATTTCTGACTGGTTCTTTCCTAATGCAAGTGGCAGCTTGAAATCACCATGATAAATCCACAAAAGCGGACTTCCAGTTTTCCTGGGCACTTGGACATTTTGCATTCCTCATGCATCTAAGAGCTTTAATACCCTAAGACATGCAAAGCATTACAGTACCAGGAACAAACCCCCAGCCAGTTCAGTGGATGGCTCTCTGCCATGCTATTCCCATGCTTGCACAGTGCATTAATATGCAAATCCAGAGTATCACATATGTTAATGTCTACTAAAAAGACTTCTCATTTCAAGATCTCTACTTAATGAACAAATGGAATCCTGCAGCATTGCTGTGGGGAAAAGTGATCAAGGAAGACCCTCAGTGATCTGTCAGAATGAGTGAACACAAGTGAATGGCAAAGGTAGGAATATGGCCAGAGAGAAGAAAACCAGCTGTGGCAATTCTCCCTGTTCACCTCGGCTTTGGCAGCAAAATAGTGCAATCTGTGACCCTTTGGCTCTGTGATGGCCCGCTGCTTTGGAGAAGCAATCCCAATCTGTTTTGTTATACCTTGAGCTTCTCCTCAACTCTCAAGCATCAAGCAGCATAGATGGTACCAGCGCAGTGACTTCAGGGTCCATACATCTGTGGCTCCTGTAGCAGCTGCAAAAGCACAGAGGCTGGGTTGGCAGAGTTTTCCTATGAGGAGAAATAGGTCAGGTATCAGAAAGTAAAAACAGAGAAACAGGTGCAGTCTTTCTTTCCCAGTGGACTGGTGCTTTGCAAACATACCCTTAGTAACCAAAGACAAAGTTCCTTGAGAGCAATTCCCCATACATCACGAAAGGTACCATTGCCCAGCAGGCTCAAGAGTGTAGCAAGGTCTCTGACCACATGAGCCTCTGACAAGGCACAAGCCAAGCACTCTGCAGTGAGAAGCAAGAAGTGGAGGGCTCAGCATAAACGCTTTGCTTGGGACACACCTCCTAGGGTTTGTGACTATTAAACTAAGAGGGTAATTTTCTGTGGGAAGGCTCCATTTCTACATGCTGTTAACTAAATGCTGGAAGAAAGCAGAGAAATACTGTTATATTTTCATGCAGTTAGTCTGTTCACAGTACTCACTAAGATTGCACTGTTTTTTTTCATCCAAGTAGGTGTCCCTACAATGACCGTTCTTCTGTTTGTCTCACTGGAACCATTCTCCTCCCCCTCAGTCCCCTCACTATTTTGAGGTAAGAATTCTAATTCTCATTTAGAATCATAGAATAGTTTGGGTTGGAAGGGACCTTTAAAGGTCATCTAGTCCAACCCCCTGCAGCGAGCAGGGACACCTTTAGCTGGATCAGGTTGCTCAGAGCCCCGTCCAACCTGGCCTTGAATGTTTCCAGGGATGAGGCTTCTATCACCTCTCTGGGCAGCCTGTGCCAGTGTTTCACCACCCTCACAGGAAAGAATTTCTTCCTTCTATCCAGCCTAAATCTGCCCTCCTTTAGTTTAAAACCATTACTCCTTGTCCTATCACAACAGGCCCTGCTAAAAAGATTGCCCCCACCTTTCTTATAGTCCCCCTTTAACTACTGGAAGGCCACTATAAGGTCTCCCTGGAGCCTTCTCGTCTCCAGGCTGAACAACCTTAATTTGAATGAATTCCATCTAACAGATAGTGAATAAGAGGGAACAGGAAGTGACAAAAGCACAGAAAAGACTTAAAATAACAGCAGGTGCTAGCACAAGGGATCTCTGATACCAGGCTAGACCTAAGCATTAAAATAAGCAACAAACCCAGCACATTTATGTTGGTATGGCTAACAGTAAGGCAACAGCATGCTGTAAAAATTCTTTGAGTATACAGAAATCATCAACCATCAATTCCTACATAGCCTGCAGAACTTATCATCTGAGATGTTTGCATAGCAGTAAGCTGCAATAAATCCACCTCTAAATTAAGTGATGACATGTATATATATATATAAAAGTTTAGTAGTTATAAGAGATCAAAGTTTTATATTTTTTAAAGTTCAAAACACTATAAAACCTGAGATACTATAACTAAGGGTGTTATATTAAAAGTGTATTAAAGGAAATTGTTTGAGATTGCAGGTGAAGAAAGGTGAGAACGTACAAGCCATCCTTCTCATGGTAGAAGGCTGTGAGCTTTTTAAAGAACTACTGGGAATCCTCAGTGGAGGATATGGTATACTTGACATACCTTGAGTTTTCAGAGTAAGGCAAGGCAACAGCACAAGCCACTTCATCAAAGCCGATTTGTAACAGCTTGTTTTATCCAAGTAGAAGTTCATGCAGTGAGTGCTTTTCCATTTGTCTCAGTAACTCCATCCTCCTACCCTAAAGAAATGATTACAAAAAAACCCCCAAAAACCCCCGACTATTTAGAGGAGTTACATAGATCGTAGGTAGTACAATTGCCTAAAATTTTAGTAGAGTCTCTTTACCTATTGGGCTACCTCTGATGGCAGATCGTTTAAAGACAACAAAGTTATAACATACTGGCCTATTTAGTGATAAAAGAATGTGGCTACAACATTTAGGGAGAAGGCAACGAGTTGTTCAGCACTACACTGTCAACTTGCCTAAAAACAGCAGCAGGTGACCTTCTCCAAATAACCCCAGTCAGGTAGCAACTGTGCCAGGTGCAGAAGTCTGGTATGTTATGCTGGTAAAGCCTCCATCCCAGCCAATGGTGTCAGACTGTTGTGAGATGAGACGAGCAGAACTGCATCCTGTGGCCAGCTGAAGCAGAGAGGAACCTCAATATGGAGATAAAACAGTGTTTAGAAGATTATCACCTTTTCTTTCTCTCCAGGGATTTCAGCCTGCCCTACAACGCTTGCAAAGGGCACGCAAGATCTTCTTTCCCCTTCCTTGTACACAAAACTTCCCATGGCAAGTCCCAAAACACATGATACTCTATACTCTGCTGAACTCTTCAGCTGTAAAAGATGACTTCGATACAATTTCTCTAATGCTCCTCTGGAGTGTCTTTATAGCTATTGCTGTTTCTCAACAGGCTGCTTTAGCTTTCTTTTTAAAATCCTGCCAAATGCTAATGACAACAAATCCTCTGTTCCCTCTCCTGCTGCTCCCAAAAAGCCTTTTGGAGTTGTTGTTTAGAGAGATCACATGTGTGGGCCTTGGAGTGGAAAAGGGTTAGCACTAGGCAATCAACTTTTTCTCTTGACACAGAAAATTACCCTCTGCTAGGGCTATAATTTATTGACGTGTCTTTCACTAACAGGTCTTATGGCACAAAGTTATATCCAGCCCTTTTCACACAGCTATTCTCAGCCATTGCACTTATTAACCAGAAAGCCTTCTAAATGTTATCTAGTAGCAAGAATTAAGCAGTTGTGTTTTGCAGATCATGTTCCCTAGCTTGCTCTTTCATTTCCTCATTTCAACATTATCACATTATGTTCCCTCTTCTTATGTGCTTTTCCTCTTCACAAAGCTCTTTAAACAGCTGCAAAGGGGGAGGGACCACTATGCTCACGAAAACTCCACTTTGCAGAATGCTTCTGCCAGGTCCTACTGTCTGTCTCTTTCCAGGCATTTAATACCTCCAAGATTCAGGTTTGCATTTACATGTCTTCCTTGTGCATCCCTGACAACAGAGCCTATTGCCAGCTGTCTTAACTGAAGAATAGTAATCCTCCTCTTCTTCTTATTGCCATGAGGAATACATACACCCTCTTTCTCTTTGTAGTGGGCTCCTTTTATTTTAACGGTAAGTGATCTTTTCTTTCAGTTACAGTTTGCAGAACAGGGATAGCTTTCGGGGCTAGGAGGTAGGACTGCGATATAAGCTCTCAGATCACTTTTATCTACCACCTCAGTAGGTTGCAGACTTTAAGAGGATGCATGAAATTGATTATTTTAGTGTTGTTTCTGGCTTGTTTGGCATCAGCAAATCCATTACGATGGATATGGAGAGACAGTAAGTTGGATATAAAACAACAGAACAGTTAGAGATGACAGTGATAATCACTAAATAATATCCCTTTGGATGCTCCGAGGATCATCTGTGATGGGAAAAGCAGGTATTGTGCTGAGAGTGAAAAAATAAAAAATGAACCATGACATGAACCATAAATAAGACAGATCTCATCCCTCTACAATATTGGCTCAAGTTATATATTTTGCAAAGTTCATACTTCCTAGTTGTTTGATTAGTATGTTGAAATTAAGTTGAAGTATGTAAATATATGCTTAAAAAAAAAAGCAAACATGCATTAAGAACATTTACTTCAGTCCGCCAGGATTTCTTGCATGGTTTAGCCAACACGCACAGCCTGACAGCAGCATGAAACAGTGCATTTACCATGGGAGCTTCTTCCCACAGAGAGACTCCACTGAAGTGTTCAGAGTGAAACTGGCTGAAATTGAACAGAGACAAAAATCATGTCTTTCCCATAATTACCTATTCATCCTGCAGTTTTTTTGTTTTGTTCAGTCACTGAAAGGCAACTTCAGAAAACATCTGTTTTGTAACAAATGAAGAGTGAGGGCCTACTTTCGATTCTTAGATTACAAACTTTTCATCCCTGTAGTATTTCCTTTTTATCTGCATTAATCGCAGTGTAGAAATTAAAATAGTCTTTACAATACAGTAAATTCATCACTACTTCCATTGGAAAAATAAGCGTTCCAAATTGGCGTGCGTTGTTCTAAGAGGTTATATAAATCTTTTTACTCAAGAGTATGCTGAGAAGTAACAACATCACAAAGTAATTTCAGAGAAGATAATGGGATTGTCTTATTGCTGCTTCTCGCTTGCTCTTTACTAATTAGAGATGGGAATTTGATGCCACCGTGATCCACATAAGTTACTTGTGACAGAGGAAAGAACAAAAATGACAACATATGCTACAATATATAATTTCTAAACAAATGCTACTTCAACGCTTCTTAAAATAACTGGAGTCAGAAAAATGGAGGAAACATGCCTTATGAAATTTTATAATTTAGACAACGATAACAGTGCACTTGCCTGTATTTGTCCACATTGTTCTGCATTTTGATCTGTGGAAATCACTCCAACAGATTTTGTCATTACACTGAAAATAACCAACATAACACAGGATGACTAGTTACTTCATTTTATATATTTAAGTTAGACCATGTAAAAGGGAAAGTTTGCACAGGGGAGTGAATGAGGTTTGTGGTTTTGTTTCTTCTGTTGTGAAATTGGAAGCATCCTAATGCTTTTTTTTTTGTAATGGTCATACTCCCGCAGAAAAAAAAACCAAAAAAACCCCAACTTACTGCAGAATGTGTACTGCAAATTATGTGGCAGCTCGCTTGTCATGGAGCAGATGTGTAGCGCATTTAGTGAAGCTAAAACAATTTTCCTAGCTCAGGACCCACCCTAATGTGTTTCCTCTATTACTGCTTTCAGTACACAAAAATACTGCATCCCCAAATTAGGACTGCTTCATCATTCTTGTTAAATTAATTTGTCTAAAAGCATCAGTCTACCCTCTGCAACATTTCTGGTGATTACTGCTATTTCAAAGAAAAAAAAAAACACCACAGTTTGCAAGGGAAACTGTGCACTTCCATTTCTTGCAACTCCGAGCAGCAGAAGTTTCAAATGCATGGCTACTGACATCACGAAATCCATCTCAAGATGAACTTGAATGCCTAGTAATTTTGTTTTCATTAGGTGCCATCTGGTTAATATGTAGATTGGTAATGGAAAATAGATTATAAAAATTATACAAGTATCACTCATTTTTACACGTTATGTACAGAGATTGACTTTAGCAACCTTTAAGGCGGTGCGCTGCTGACATCTAGTGGTGTTGGGTACAGGCATCCGAGTGAGATGAGAGAGTAGTGCCTTCGATCTTTATTTCTGATGATCAAGTTATTTAAAAGTTGGGATGGGATGGCAATTTTACAAAGAATTATTCATTACAGGAATCCCTTCCCTAAGAACAGAAAATAATTTTTTTAAAGGGATGCACTATTTAACAAATCATTTTTTATAATTAAGTTGTGGCCTGTCGTTCATCTGCATAAAGTTTATTGACAGTCAGTACTTTGAAATCTGAGCTGTTCTCATCAGACATGCAGACCCCACAGTATGTTTCGATTTGCTGACCAGACGACTATGACTGCTAAAACCAGGTTTCAGAGAACAGGATTATTACAAGTTCAGAATTAGCTTTGTGCAAATATTCTCCAGTTTTTACTTTTTACTCACTGTTTAGCAAATACTCCATATGCTAGAATATTTACAGAAAAAGATGGCAACACAGTGAAAACATATTTAACAATTCAAAGACTAATTCTCTGCTTTGCTAGCAGCATTCAGTGACCACTGCATGAAACAAACCAAATTACAATTTATTTATATCTGAATTATGGCAGCATGCTTATGTCACTTACAAATGCAAAAGCCGGAATGTTTGTTAAAAAACAAAACCAAACCAAACCAATAAAATAATGTTAACCAACATTCTCTCTCTAGCTATCACAAGGCTTCTGACCTATTCTTATAAACACAGAACTATTCACTCTTAGAATGTAGCCACATTTTCTTCACAGTATGAAGTTTAGCTCTATTTTGACTGTAACACACAAGAAAAAATAGAATCCGGACCTTAGTAAGGATCAGAATAGTTCTAGCTTGATATACTTTTGATTAGGCAGGCTTACATCGAGAATAATTGTAAAATTAAAATATCACATGGTACTAGGGCTTTTATAATGATTTGCAGGGAGGTACAAAGCAAGTGTGAATCAAAAAACAAACCAACCCAACAAATACAGATGTAATCATCCAAATTTGTTTTCCCAAATGGCTTGGCAAGTATTTGAGAAGCCTATTCTGAAGAATAATGTTATGGTTAAGGATACGTGACAAAATTTGTGATACCAATGCCATAGCATATGCTGGTCTTAAAAGTATTAAAACAAGCCTTATGTTTATCTCAACCTTTCCCCAGAGCTTGAGTAAAAGCTGTTCTTAGATGTGAAAAATCTGTTCGATGATGCTTCCTTTTATGTCTCTCCGCTTTCTTACTGGGTCAGAAACAAGATGTTCTTACAGTATTTTTTTAAATCTGAGTGGAATTCAGAACTACCAAGTTTCAAGACAGACTTGTTCCCCCTAGCAACTTACAGACCAGTTCACACGGAAACTAGGTACCTTCTAGAAATGCACACAAACTTGGCTGCTTACATGATCCCGGCCTTTTGATGTCTGCCTTTCTCTGGATTTCATGAATATGCTACAACATAAAAAAATCAGAAGAAATTAATATACCACAAATTTAAAATACTCACATGGCTAGTGGTTTTTACTGCGTGCTGTGTGGGACTGCTCTGGGGAATAATGAAGCAAGTATGCTGTAGGGACACTATCCTCATTTCTGCTCTATCTCGGGTTGAGTTAGGTGCCCTTCCCTGTGGAAGAATCATTCTGTCAACTGGATTAGAATCTGTTTTCGTAACACCTGTGTCCATCACTGCCAGCTGTATAACACAACACAGAATTACCCAACACACAGCAGAATCTCTCTGGGTCAATTCTGTTGGCAGGATGTTACCAGGACCTTAGTCATCAATGTCATTATGTGGTCAACAGTGGTCCACTAGAATGGCTTTAAAAAGCACATGCAAGAACATGGGAACAAATGCAGTTACCTCTGCAGTTGTGCCATAAGCTGTTCTGCTCCATGGAGAATGTTCAGGCTTTTTTGATAGTATCCTGCAGATACTATATTTTGCAGTCACTGAACTCCAGCTTTGGCCATCTAAGATTTACAGTATTTGTGCTAGTCGGTAAATCAGGTTTTGTTTCCACATAAAATAAGGCATACATACTGTCTCAGGTTTTCAAATAAAATCATTCTGAAACAGAAACATCACTAGCTACCAAAGAGCTCCCAATCCTTAAAAAACTCTTGTGAATCCTGCAGCTCATCCCCTGGTTTTGCCTATACAGATCAGATCTTTCAATTTGTACATGTGCCTGCAACTCTGTCTCCTATGACACTAAAGAGAAGCTGGACTCACTGCATTTGGACTGTTGAAATGTTCTTCCTCTGTCATTAAGAGTGTGGTTTTCTCCCAGTTTCTATTTCTGAACGTACTCCCAAAAGTATGTATCAATTTGAGCTTCACATTTTACTGTGGAAAAAAACCACCAATGGGTTTTGATTTATCTGCTTTGATCTATGCTCTGTGAAAGACAGTCAACCTCAGCAGAAAAGATATTGGTGCAAGCACCATATCCTTCTGTCCACACAAGCCTACATTCTTTAGAAAACCAAAAGCCCTCATTATTTCATGAAGACAATCTGATGCACAGAAATTCTGGGATCCCTACATCATGTCACTTGGTCTCCCTTCTACAACCCTGTTACGTGATGTTTTACAGGAAGCACCGCAGCAGATGCTGAAGAAAAGCTAATGAACCACCTACTGAGTCCTGACAGGTACAATAAGTTAATTCGACCAGCTGTCAACTCATCCCAGTTGGTATCTATAGAACTGCAGGTTTCCCTGGCACAGCTCATCAGCGTGGTAAGTTCAAATTAGGCCACGCCTTTTAATTCATTACTACCTGCACAGCACTCTAAGTAAAAGTCATACTGGTATTACTATGCCCTTGTTATTTTCTAGTTTACATAGTAATATTTAGTAGGCAGGGCCCACACACATGACTTTGTGGTTTTATACTTCAGAATGCAGCTACAACAGGGAGATCAATCTATACCTAAGCAACAAAGGACAGCAGCCAGATCTTCATTCCATAAAAATCCATTGATCAAAAAATCAAATTCATTCCACTGATTTCAGTACAGATACAGTAAGTTACACCAGGTCAGGATCTATCCCAAACTGTGCTAAACCATCTTCTGCTGCTTGCATCAAAGAAATGTGGTTGAACGGCCTGAAAACAAGCTACGAAGCCAGCTCAAAAGTTCATGGTACATCAGGCATATCAGCAAAGAATAGTGAAATGTTGTAAAGAAGAAGACACATTAGTTCTGGCTGGAATAGCATAACATGGTTAAAACAATCCTCATGTAAGTAACTCCTCATATTCAATAAAAATTACTTCAATGAGTCTGAAAGACATTGTCACTCACACAGTTTAACAGCTCTTCCAAGGTACAAATACACACCCCAATGCCAAGAGAGGTTTAGCATTAACTACAATCAGAACAACATCTAGCACCACAAGTGGGAATAATTTCCCGAATTGGAGCTTTCAGCTCTGCTGCTCTCTCCCTGGGTGAAAAAAAGGACACAAATGACTGCCTCTCTGCCAGAATTTGTGTACGGGCTAGTGACTGGACTGCTGCAAACTTTAAGAGACCCATATAATTTATATTCTGAAATTCAAGAGGAAAAGAGAGAGACACTGATGGAACATAAGGGAAATTGCATAAACAGATGAGCTTTCATATACACATGCAGACTGATTTATACAGAATATACTGTCATGTATACAAGACAACGCTGGGACAAGTGCTCCCTCTCTCCAGAATTCCACCTGGACACAGACACGCCTCCTCACACAGTGCAGTGCCACCACTAGCATAGTCTTCTCCCAGATTGCAGATTCTGGGCATAAAAAGCAATGTGTCTTACCCCCCAGAGGCCCCAGTGATCAATAACCTAAACAGAGCAGATGCACAGGCAAGGGTAAAGAATGGCACAGCTCAGTCCCTATCCCTCCACACCCTCACTCTTCAAGCAGAAAGCAAAAGTAGGCATCTTATAGGCTCTAACAATCTTGAGCACGTTCAGGATCAGAGAATTAACTCATTTTCCTGCAAAAATCCTCCTGACTCTTTGACCTCCTATCTTGTCCCTTTAGTAGAGGCCCAGCCACACAGATCTGGCACAGAGACACATCTTCTGGACTGCTGTCCACAGAGACTGCAGTTCCATTAGGCAGAGCCTGCCAGCTGAGAGCTTATATCGCAAACCTTACATAAACCTCACACAAGTTAATCTAAGCCTTCCTCGTGGTCAAGTGTGCCTTTTATTTCAAATCGAATCCACAGGGAAGGCGGGAAAAAAAAAGGGGGGGGCGTGTAGAAATCAGCTCAGCAGAGTAGTGGTAATTGCTCCCAAACAGCCACACTCACTCCAGTCACAACTGTCCTTGTTAAAAGCCACTTGGAGCTCGACACTTGTGGGGTTACTATTTATCATCATTACGTGCATAAGACTGGCCATGTTACCAGCAGAAACACCTGACGTGAAATACTCTAGATGAAATCAGGCTGCGCAGTTGGAAATATTCTCAAAAGCCCACTGTATAAATCTTATTACTGCAATAAAGTGAAACATTTTAGAGGACAACTTTTATCTTTTTCCCTGCAGAATGAACGGGAGCAGATCATGACCACAAACGTCTGGCTGAACCAGGTAACCAAACCCACAGGGGCACGCTCTTGCGAACCACAAATGCGACCACTTTCACTTCATCACAGAGGTTGTTTTGTTACTGCTGGTCTGGATATTCCCATCACTACTGTACAATTCTTCTCTTAGGAGTGGATTGATTATCGTTTGGCTTGGAAGCCCTCTGACTATGAAGGAATAAATAAGCTGAGAATACCTGCAAAACATATCTGGTTGCCAGACATTGTGCTTTACAACAAGTAAGTAAAACTTCTGTAGTTATGCAGACAGTGAACAAATGTTTCAAGAAACATTTCAAGATACATTCTGTATCAAGAAACAAGACCAATGAAATAGGTCTGATAAAATTCTAAAACTGAATTTTGTAAACTTCTAGTCGGTATCAAGTGTATCTGACTGGGGAACTGACCTTGATGGTAATCTTAGTAAAAACAGGTCTCTGGTTAAAAAAATTGCAGCAGACCTGGAGCATGTCTGCAGTGTGAGCCGTTGCAACACCAGAGGATCCATGTCAAGGCTCACAATTGAGACACAGATCGACATCAAACTAGACTATATGGAAAGCATGAATTCTAACTGGTCGTGTTTGCAAGAAGACATCTGGAATTCTACTGGACATCTTAGGTTCTGAGCTACGTTTTTTGTCTCTTATTTCTTCCTGCCCTGCACCCTTCCACCACAGACCAGAATCCACCACATCACATATACCAGAACTCCATGAGTTAATATTCATTTAAAAAAACCCAAATTATGTTCTATTTTCATAAATTATTAAATAATCAATTATAATAATACCTAATAAATCTGTCAACATTTGACCCTGTTTCTTCACAGTACTGAGAAAAGTAAAAGCTTGGTGCTAGACCATACTTCAGCTCTTCTTTCAAACAAAGAGCTAACTGAATTTTAATTTGCTTTGTTTTGTTTTTAAGTCTCTAGCAAAGCCTTGAAGCGGATGATATCAAGTCTCTGGGAAAAAAAATAATCAAAACTTTCATTATAATTTGAAAACCAATGAATTTGTGAACACATGACGGTTTATGAACATATACAGATGGGAAACCTAGGAAGTTTATATATAACTGAGTTAAGTCCCTGGAATCCTACTACTGGAAATCAGATTTGAGAAATATTTAAAACTATTGTATTAGTCACAAAATAATTCAGACAGTGGATTAGGATGTACTCTGCCTGGTCAAATCTTGTTCTGGTAAATTGCGCCCCCGCTGTCTGCTTCTTTCTTCCTTACTCCCCAAATGATACCATTTAATGAATTGTAAGAATGGAAAGAAACAGTTTTAAAAGGCTTCTTAAATGTACGGGAACAAGCTTTTAGCCTTACCATATTGGATTTTTACATTAGTACAAAGCTTCAAATTAAAATTTTAGATAAAGGATAACCCCCATAACTTTCTGTTGCCGAAGCAGTGTTGCATAGGCACCAGTCCATTCAAGAAGGTGCTAAGTAAAACACAAAGAGCATCCCCGTGCCCCACAGCTCTGTCCATATGTAGCCTGTGCACAGGACTGCAGAAGGCACCAAGACAGCAGCAGCCCAGCCTCTATCCCACAGCTGAGCCAGGAGCAGCCACAAGAAGAACCTACATATCCTCCACCCAGGAGTCTACCCAGTACATTGTACAGCGTAATGGTAAATCTAACTCAAGGAGATACAGACATGATAAATAAGATACAATTTCTCTACTAAAAATCAGCAATTTTATTGGCAATGAACTAATGACCCTTGGACGCTGTAGCCACTCACTTTTGCATCATGGTTGGTTCACTGCCGACATGAATTAGCAGCAAGGATCTCATCTCAGTGCCAGGCACCAGGGTTTGCAACACAAGGCTTTTCCAGAGCCAAAGGTAACTGATGTGGAGAACAGCTATACATGTGCCAAGCCTTGGATACTTGTAGCACTTCCCTGCTTAGGAAAAAAGAAAAATCAACCTTAGAGCTGAGGTCTTGCTATTTTCCATGATGTCTTGTCAACAAAGAAGTGATTCATTAAGGAGCACATTTCCATTCAAATAAAAGGGTCCTATTTAACCACAGTCAGTGGAACGTAATTTGTTTACACTTACAGTGAGTTTGGTCCCGTATTTTTGCAGATAACACACTGTCTTTAGGTTATGTGCATTTCTTTACATACATATCTACCAAAAGGAGGCACGTGGGATGTATCCAGTTCAGACTCTTCCTTGCAGTCTAATGAAGTGGCTAACACAGTTTTTAATAACAGTAATTGATCAACATATGAACAAACCTTTGAGTTTCCTCATCTGTCAAGCAAGACAGTCACAAATAGTTGTTCCTTCCTACTGTTACACTTTCCTTTGGCAGCCTGATTGGCTGTGTTTGAAAGGTGTTGCACAGTACACTTGAGAAGATGCAATGAATACACTCAGAAACACTAAATTTCAATAATATTTATCAGCAGCTGACCACATTTCTACCTCAGGATACTTCATAGGTTAAAGAGCCCCAAGTTGTTTGCCCAGACACGTGACAGTAGAAGATACTGGCTACCAACTGATAATGATCTTCTCCCTGAATTAAAGGGCCCATCATAAGAGAGACACCTCTTCTGGTGGAAGTTTGGCAGTTGGAGAAGATACAAAGCCAAGATTATTTGTGAGCAGTAAGAACACTGCAGCTTGTCTGTTCTGTTTTTTGTAATAAGTAAATATTAACTGGAGTGACGCAATAAATTATAAACCATATAATTACATTTCCGCTGCCTATACTCTCCGTGCATTTCTAACTGACACTGTTCATCCTTATTGCCTCATTCAAGTAATTCTGAAGTGTTGCTGTGTGCTCTTAGCAGTGGCTGTGCTCCAGATCAAAGGTACCTCCATTTTCATGCTGAGTGATCTCACTTCTACTCAGCCTTCAGAGAGGTAGCAAGCCTTAATCACTTTAACATTTACAAAATACTTTGAGTTCTTTGGATAAGATAGAGATGCATATTTCTTATTTAATAATAATTTTATAAAATAATTTTTGTAAGTGTTGGACCAAATATCAATTCTCTGATGAGGAGAAATGCATACATTAAGCTCCCTATCAAGTTATAGCTTCCTACAGCATAGATTTCAAAATATTACTAATATTACTAAACTTGGATTCTAGAAACAACTGAGACCCACAAGACACCGTCCGAGCTCTTCTGTTTTGAACTATGTTTTTCCTCTTAACGTTTTATTATCTTCTCTCCTTTTTCTGTCCTCTTGTTTCGTTAGTGCGGATGGCACATACGAAGTTTCACTATACACAAATGCAATTGTAAAGAATAATGGAAGCATTCGCTGGTTACCACCAGCCATTTACAAGAGCGCCTGCAAGATTGAAGTCAAGCATTTCCCATTTGATCAACAAAACTGCACATTAAAGTTCCGGTCTTGGACATATGATCATACAGAAATTGATATGGTGCTTAAAACTTCCATGGCAAGCATGGACGACTTTACACCAAGTGGAGAGTGGGATATTGTAGCGCTCCCAGGAAGGAGGACTGTAAATCCTCTGGACCCCAATTATGTCGATGTGACATATGACTTCATTATTAAAAGGAAACCTCTTTTTTATACCATCAATCTTATCATCCCCTGTGTGCTAATTACATCCTTAGCCATCCTGGTGTTCTACTTGCCTTCAGACTGTGGTGAAAAAATGACGTTATGCATATCCGTGTTGCTTGCCTTGACTGTGTTCTTGCTGCTGATCTCCAAAATAGTCCCTCCAACATCTCTAGATGTTCCACTGATTGGGAAGTATCTCATGTTTACAATGGTACTAGTGACCTTCTCAATAGTCACCAGTGTCTGTGTACTCAATGTCCACCATAGATCTCCAAGTACTCACACTATGCCTCCTTGGGTAAAGCTGGTTTTCCTTGAAAGACTCCCAGCCTATCTGTTCATGAAGCGTCCGGAAAATAATTCTCCACGGCAAAAGATGTGTAACTGCAAAAAGACAAAAGCAGAGAATCCTTGTATGGAGGCAGCCGACTTGTACAAGAACTCCACATATTTTTTGAATACAACCTCTGCCAAAAAATATGATATGAAAAACAGCGAGACTCTTGACAACATCAGCAGTCACCGAGATTTCAGATTAAGAACAGGCACGAAATTTTCTCCTGAAGTCCAAGAAGCCATCGATGGAGTCAGTTTTATAGCAGAGCACATGAAAAGTGATGACAATGACCAGAGCGTAAGTAAAAATGAGAGATCATCCCAGTCTTTCCAAACTTCCTCTCCTCTGTAACATGCTATTCTTCATAAAGCATATTTGAACTTCCTAGCTATTCTGAAGTTTTTAGAGAGATTCCAGCTATAGCTTATAGGAGGAAATAATTTTTGCCATTAAAAGAACTTAATGAATAGCAATTTGGTAAACATCGACACTCTCTTGGAATGCAACATGGCTATTTCTACAAAGACAGAATGTTGATTGCCCAGTAAGTCATGAAACATCCTTGAAAAAGCTGTGTTCTCACATTCAAGTAGCGTTTGGTAGGGGAAAAAAATAACATTCAGTTCCAGGGCAGAAAAAGAGTATTTTTCCCCATTGTATTCAGTAAGACTGTGACTCAACGCATGGCTGGGCCACGTTAACCAGAAACAATCTACCTGCAGCTCAAGTATTTATTTACCTAACTGAGCATAGAAGGATTTAGTAAAATCGGTAAAATGCCTTTGCAAACACCCCCTCCAGATGAAGATATCTGTCCATATATGGCAAACAGAATGGGTTGGAACAAAATCCTAATGCCAGCAGCACAGACACTTCTTTCATTTGAGTTCAATCAGGCTCCTTATTGGCTGTGAGAAGCACTTTATCGAGGACGCGTTTAAGCAGTGCTGCTGCTGTCCTACTCATGTGCTACTAGCTAGCACACTAAAGCTGGTATAAATACACTGTGAATAATGCTTGGAAAAACTGAGATGGCTCAGAGTTTTGTTTAGACAAGCACCCCTGGTAAGGAAAAATCATCCTCATATCTACCAGTGTCCTCACTCTGATCCAGTCAGAACAGAGATCCCAGTCAGACTCTGAGTTTTCTATTCCTGTTGTGCTCTCCCTCCCTCTGCCAAGCAAATTAAATAAAGTCTGGTTTCCAATCTTGCAGAATTCCCTTGAGCAGCATGCCACTGAGTGGTTCATGTTTTCTATTAACTGAAATTACTGTCAATATAAATAAAGAAGATCAGTTATTAACATTAGACATGAGCTTGTAAACATTGAAAATGACTGAACAGAAGCAGATTTCATAGAGCAGAAAAAAAGTTTCCTAATAGTTCAGAAACTCTTGCAAGAATGTGTTGCACACTAAAGGATCTATAAAGCTTCCACTTGATATTAAGAACAATTTTCAAGGTTATTTTATAGATTGAAAATTAATTGAATGCTTCTCACACAGGATCCTCTCATACCACCTTTCTAGACCCATAATTTTAATCTTTGCTTTCCTCCTTCAGTATCACGATCTGGTAACAACCGCTCACGTAAATTTACTATAGTCTGAATTCAGGAGTGCACATTTCCCATTAGCAGCAGTGGAAATTAAAAGTGTGCACTGAAGGAAAAATACGTGATATTCTAATATAGGACATGAGATAATTGACAAGCATGGTAAAGTCATTGAGGTGAGGATGTCCCATGTGCAACTAGAATCAATAAGAGAGGAAAAAACAATTATTCCTGAGATGCAAATGAAGATTGCTGTATTCCCCCTTCACAATCACAGCCTAACAGTCACTTCAGTTTGAGAACAGAATCTAAGGCCATGACTTTCACAGACAACATATGCAAGGCAAAAAGGGATTTTAATAAAACCAACAGTATTAATATGCATTAAAACCCTTGATTAAGATGACTGCTGATAAGAACGCTGAAGCTAACCTTGTTTAACAGCAGTAAACACCATCTATTTTTGTCCACTGAGATTAATAGCATCTGCAAACTAAAATTAAAGAAAAAAATTCCTTAATTGGATTATACTGTGATTCCTTCCGGACTGGCTTCCACCAGGCGGCCACGCTCAGTGCCTGGTGCATCCAAGACAGCAAAGAAATATTTACAGTATTTTTCTCCACTGCCCAGAATGGTTGTAGGAGAAAAATCCCTTCCCAAGCCTGAAGTCAGTTTATTCCCTGAACCTTGAGATTTGTTTCCTTTTATTTTTATAAACAAAAACTCGGCATTAGCAAGAGGAAGAGCAAAAGAATATGATATATTGCTAATACCTTTAATTGGCTTTTTCTTCCAGGTCATTGAAGATTGGAAGTATGTTGCCATGGTAGTGGACAGGCTGTTTCTCTGGATATTCGTCCTTGTTTGTGTTCTGGGGACTGTTGGATTATTTCTGCAGCCACTTTTTCAAAACCACACTGCTGCCATGAACCCTTAGTTGTCATTTAAAATTGTCAATACTTACATAGATGTTTGGTCTCATTCTGCTCTCAGTTCCCCTCCGTTAAATCCGCAGAGATGCCAACTAAGTTGCTTTTACATCAGATTTAGAGTAGGGAAATGGAAAGTAGAACTTGACTTACTGTGATAAGGAACAAACCAAAGCCAGAGAACTACTATTTTTTCCAATTACTTCAGTCTATCTGGTGATATCTTGGCCCTTTTTTCAATTATTTGAAGACTGAACATTACAGAGAAAGGCATTTGCTGTACAAGATGCCATCCTGGCTCACAAAGATTATTATTTAAAAAGTATTTTGCACACATTATGTCAGAAAGGACATTTTCTTTCCTTAGAATACTGCAATTTCCCTACTACAAAGAAGGTATTGCTACGACATTTATTTACTTCAAATGCATCAAAACTACTTCTATCTGTTTTATAGAGAGCTTTACAGGTGGAATCACTGTTAAGCTGTTTGAGTATGGCATTTAAAACCCAATTGAGAAACAGAGACATACTTCTGAGGTAATGGGTTTCTCACCTCGCCATGTCTGATAGCTGATTGATCAACAGAGGCCAAATTAATATATGATAAGCAAACACGTATGTACTCTGTTCAGTGACGAAATACAAATAAAATGTAAAATTTTCCTTTATATAGATTTAGTCCTGAAATATTCCTGCAACTTTAACAGCTCATGTAACTGGGGTTCATACACACCTTCATGAATCTAAAGCTAAAACCACAGGAAAGCATCTAGAGAAGACAACTGTGAAAGGCAGCCAGAATGATGAGAAGACACCCGAGAACAAAGAGACCTGCGCATTTCTGCTGGGGAGATTTTAATGCGGATTTAAGTATAATCCTCAACAAATTAGCTAGGAAAGAACGTAATACACGCACAGTCTTTGGCAAAGGACAGATCAAGGCCCCAGACTCCCATCACAGGACAATCCCACCACACTTTGTTCCAGGTAGTTTGTAACCTGCAAAAAGAGAAGTGGGCTCCTGGCATTTTTCAAGTGAAACCAATCTCAGCTTTTCCTTAGAACGTTGTCAGAAGACATAATAATTTTACCACCATTGATAGATACAACTAATAACTTGTGAACAAACTGTTAAAATCCACTACTACTTGTGAAGGGGATTTGAGGCTCATCTGTGCTAGGGGAGGATTAGCTGACACCTATACCTGTGTTCTTCAACAAGCCACAGATGAACACATCTCCAGCTCTATTTGCCCACATCAAAACTGACCTATATCTCTACCTAGATCACGGTTCCCAGGCAGTTACAGGTAACTACATAGATTTAGACAGCTACACCATCACCTTTCCAACTGTTCAGAGCAACTCCAGGACCTTTGCTGATTCCTGGGTTCACTCCCTCCCTGCCCATGCGCTGAACTCCCCAGCACTGCTGCGACACAGACCCCAACCCCACACCTCCACCCCTGAGCACTGGAAATGCTCTCCCAGGGGCCTGAGCACCGCAGCATGGCCTGACGTGCAGCAGCCTAGGAAAGATGCAATGAAAAAGTACCAGAAGTGGGGTGGGTGAGGCTATGTGAGCAGCAGCAGCATCTCCCTTAGGTCGTATGCTAGAAGGAATGGTGTAACACTGTCATCCTCCCCTCCTTTCCCTTTCCTCTATGCGCCATAACTGCGCCCATCACTGAAGACAGGGCAAGAAGGTGAAGGATGACTGTAGAACAGCCCTATTAATGCAGGTGTGCCCTGTGATCGCAGAAGCTGCCAACATCCTTCTCTCCCAGAGGGTGGCAATGCTCTGGTCATCTCCCCAAACATGAACTGTTCTGGACATTCCCCATGGGGACTGGTGGGCGGTGTAAAGTTTTAATGGGTCAAACCTTCTTTCCTCCCCTCAAATGTCATCTTCTTAAACTAGAGAGCAGAGCCATTTCTCTGCAGGGAACTGAAACAATAGCTGTGAGGTCAGACAGGGCACAGGCAGCCCCTCCAGAGCAGAGGGGTGCCTTCACCCACACAGGGAGATGTTAAGTTACATGCTGGGAGCTGACGCGCACAGAACATCACAAGCACACGTGCACACGCTGCCCCAGCTGCTAAGCAGCTTTTTCTGCTTACAGAGAAGCCAGAGGGAAGCCAGAGCAGCTGCCAGCACTGCACATGCAGTGTAAAGGTGAAGCCCCTTTAAATCCCACAATAATCCCAAACAGGGAATCTGAAAGAGGCAGCACATACCTCAGCACAGACTTAAACGCTCTTGTGATGTACCACACACTCCTGCAGGGCCGAAGGGAGAGGGACTCACCCAGCCAAGCAACCGAGGACGCAGTAAGTCCCTGTGGACCCTGCAATCCACCCGACTGACACAGGACCTGTGCAGAGCAGATACCTCTCTCTGATCTTTTCACCCAGCAACAACAGCACTTCTGTCTCTGTCCCGCTCTCACCCCCCTACCAATCATTATTCCCCTCCGCCATCCCTTCTTCTATCTTATCCTCCCCCTCACTGCCTGAATGCGACTGAAATGAGGCCTCCAGTACTCCCATCTCATAGTTGGCCTTATCTTTATGAGCATTAGTGACTGATAATGCTTGGCTCTGTAACTGCAGCCTTCAGCTGAATTATCCCCAGCACAGACAAAAGTTTTAGAAAGGATTTGGCAGCTCAGCTAGCAGCTAACACAGAGCACAGGCAGATGGAAGCCCGAGACTTGATAAACCCAGAAAAAGCTTTCAAAAGGAACATCTCTGGCCCCAGGGAGACCCCTGCAGAACTACATCTCCTCATCCAGGAAATGGTGGGCTCTGGTGCTTCCCATACACTCTGGCTACCTTATTCCTTTTTTCATCATGAGTGAGGCAATACACTCTTCCCTAGTTATGTTCTTGGAAACCATCACTGTATCATTAAAGTTTCCAGAAAGAATTCAATCCAAACTTCAGGATGGAAAATTTCACCCGAAGTCCTAAAACTTCAAAAAATCTGACCTCCTAAAACTGTGCTTTCAAAATGGGAAATGCTATTTTTGCCTAAACCTCAGCAGCTCTACCTCCGTAATACATAGAACTGTTGCCAGTGTAAATTGTCAAAGAATTGTAGGGTTTTCCACTTTGATTTTTGGCAAAATTTTAAAAAGAAAATATTTCTGAAGAAAAGGAAACATTAAAAATGTCATCTTGCAGGCTAATTTGAATGATAAGGTCCCAGTTCATCAAAGAAAATAAAACAACAACATTACCACTTTTCAGGGGTTTTACAGTAACGCTTTTAATTAAAAAAAGAAGAAAAGTGGTCATTCAAACTGTATTTTTCTCTAAAACTGTCTTTCACTGGCAATGTGCAATCAGCCTTTGCTTCCCTACTAGTGATGAAAAGCCTTTGTTGGCTCCCTCCTCATTCCCTACCATTATAAAACTCTTTAATCCTGATCAATCCTGTCTTCTGTCAGGGCACATAGAAGTGCCACCACCACCACACACATGTACCATCTGCATCCAGGTGAGTTTATTTGGGACTGTTTCTGCACCAGTGCAGCCACAGCAAACTAGAAATACCAGCAGTATTGGCTTTTTATAGAGGGACCATCAATACCCCAGACAAAGGTGGGAAAATATTCTTCTCCTCATCACCTGAGTTGATTAAGTTTTAATCTTAACAAAGCAAAACACCTCTAAAAGTTGCATGTTTATTAAAAAGCAAAGGCTACGTTGTTTGTTACTGCAGACCCTCTTCAGCAGATCAGCTTCCCCTACCCATGCAAATTCTTCTTCTATGTAGTTCTGCAATGCAGTCATGGTGACGTGTTCTTATCGCATCACTCTCCTTAGCCATAAAAATAATCCTACCACAAACCTGAGCTGATTTCATCAGGAGCTCCAGCATGTGATGTTAGAAACAAAATATCTGTGCATACAAACACCACTGAAAATTTCAGTAACCAGGCAAATTAAGCTGTATCTCTTGATGCAATAGCTCTTTGCTGCCTCTGCAGATCAGACGTTTACAAATTGTTCAGATTTAAGCACTGAGTTTCGGGGAACACAGGTTATGATCTGATCTTTGAAGCTTTAGCTCATTTCTACTCAGGACGAAAAAGAAAAAAACAAAAATCTCAGTTATAATGTTGCTTGTACATGGAAACCAAGAAGGCAGAAAGGGAAAACATCTAATCTCAATGCCCTGGAAAGGCAAAGAGATGTATCCACAAAGGGTTAAGCTAAAAGACCAAGCGTCCAAGCTGTCTGGAAAAAAGAAATACAATCAAGTGAACAGTAAAACCTATTTCCTCCAAGCTAATAGAATTACAGAAATTATCATAACAGCATGTGTCTGGGGATAGAGTGAATGATGCTCTGAGAGACAGGGCAAACAGGATAAACAAGCTTTGTGCCAAGAGCAGCTGAGCTGAACCCAGTCTGGTGCTCTTTCTCCCAGTGCCATCTTTCAATACAATGCCAAATGGGGTCACCATTTATCCTTCCCTAATAGCAGGGAGTGAAGGACCTATCGGGCCTCTTGGTCATTTCCAAAAACAAGTGTGGAATCCCACATTTTTCTCTCTCCCCACCCTTCCTCCACAGAGACTGCCCAGATGTGTGCAACAACCACTGCATGCATGAGCCTTGCATCACCCAGTCATTCAAGGAGGAGCAAAAAGTGCCATGTAAATTAACAAGGAAGCTGATGGACACCTGGAGAATGAGCCACTTCACAAATCATGATTTTATGACTGAACTTCAAACACAGCTCCCCATTCTCCCCCATCTCCTTCCCCCTGAACAATAAGGTTTTCTGGGATCAAGCTAGGATCCTATGCTCTTATTCTCCTTCCCAAATTTCACCTTTCTAATCCACAAAAGCAGGAACCATCCAAAGACAGTTATTCTCAAGAGTTTGGTCAAGTTTGACCTCCAACCCAAACCCTTGGCTCTTGCCAGATCCCAGCTTCTACGTATATCACTCTGGGCTTAGATCCTGTCAACGGTTGTACATGCCTTTAATT